CACCTCGCGCCGTGTCTTTGCGTCTCAGGACGTCACGTTCGACGAGTCGGTTCCCTTTTACCGTCTCTTCCCCTACCGCACTGCCCCGCTCCCCCCCCCCCGCCGCTCTTCCTCGCTCCAGGTGCTCCCCAGGTAGACCCCCTCCCCGCTCCCGGTCCTGCTCCTTCAGGTGTTTCTCAGGTAGACCCTCCTCCCTTGACTATGCAGGTTGAGGTCACTGGTGACTCAGGTCCTACTGAGGGTGGTCCTGCTCGGGGTGCTACTTCTGGGGGTGCTGAGCCTGGGGGTGCGGAGCCTGGGGGTGCTGAGCCTGGGGGTACTGAGCCTGAGGGTGCGGAGCTTGAGGGTGTGGAGCCTGGTGGTGCTGAGCCTGAGTGTGAGGGGTCTGGGGGTGCTGAGCTTGGCGGTACTGACGCTGGAGGTTCTGGAGCTACTGAGGGTGCTCGCGCTCGAGGTTCGGGAGCTGCTGGAGGGCCTAGTACTGGTGGCGCTGGAGCTGGAGGTTCTGGAGCTGCTGAGGGTACTCGCGCTGGAGGTTCTGGAGCCGCTGGAGGTACTGGTGCTGAGGGTACTGACACCGGAGGTTCTGGAGCCGTTGGGGGTGCGGGCGCTGAGGGTTCTGAGTCTGCTGTTGCGCGGTCTCCTTGGAGTAGCCGCCTTCGTCCACGTGTGCCTCTCACCCCACAGCAGCTGCAGGACTGGTACGGTCGCCGTCAGTGTCGCGTTGCTGGAGCTAGGAGTGGTGCTGGTCCTTTGTCTACTGGAGGTGCTGGAGTCGCTGGTTCTGGAGGTGCTCGTGCTGGAGACACTGAGGCTGGAGACCCTGGGACTGGAGGTGCTGGCTCTGGAGGTGCTGCTGCTGGAGACGCTGAGGCTGGAGACCCTGGTACTGAAGGTGCTGGTTCTAGGGGTGCTGCTGCTGGAGACACAGAGGTTGGAGACCCTGGGACTGGAGGTGTCGGCTCTGGGACTGGAGCTTCTGGAGCTGCTGGAGGTACTAGAGCTGCTGGAGGTACTGGAGCTGCTGGAGGCACTGGAGCTGCTGGAGCTGCCGGTACTGGTGCAGCTGCGCCGACACGACTGTTCTTCGCTCCGCCGTCTCCGTCGTCTCTGCCGCCGTCTGACTCTGTTCTTCGTCAGGTTCTTACTCTCCCGTCGTCTACTGGTCTTCCGTTACAGCCTGGCTCACCGCTCACCGCTGCCTGCTCCTTCTCCTTACACTGAGCAAACAGGTAGTCCTGCTGAGCGTCGTGAGCCTGCGTCGCGTCCTGTTTCGCCTGTTCGTCCTGGTCGTACCGGTCGTCGTGTTCCTCGTTCGCGTCAGCCGGCTGTCCCCAGCGCACACCTCGTTGTCCGTCGTCCTTCCTCTGCTCCGCAGCCTGTTCCTCTGCCGTCTCCTCCTGCGTCCTCTTTGCCTGACGTTCCGGACCCTGCGTCTGACCGGTTTCGTGCTGAGCACCCTACTGTCACGCGTCTACTAGCCACTGTTGTCACTGACCCGTCGTTTGAGTCTACTACTGCGTCTGCTCTTGTCGCTGAGCTTGTTGACTTTGCTGCTGCCTGTCGTCTAGACTTCGCTGCCAGTCTTGTTGCTGAGTCTGAGTCTGTCTGTCCTCCGTCCGTCGGGGGTGAGTGTGCTCTTAGCACGGACGTCCTTGAGGACAGGCACAAGGACCTTGAGTGTCTTGCAGCCGCTGCGCCTCATCTCGTTGCCATGCTGCTTGCCCCTGAGGGAGACCCGGATGCACCAGACATCCCGACCCCGCGCTCTTACGCTGAGGCAATCGCGGGTGAGTACTCCTCTCAGTGGCAGACAGCCATGGACGCAGAGATGGCATCCTGGAAGTCCACTGGCACTTACGTCGACGAGGTTCCCCCTCCTGGGGCGAACATTGTCAGTGGCATGTGGATTTTCAGGGTGAAGCGGCCGTCAGGTTCTCCGCCTGTCTTCAAGGCTCGTTACGTTGCTCGAGGCTTCAGTCAGCGAGAGGGAGTTGACTTCTTCCAGACCTTCTCCCCCACCCCGAAGATGACCACTCTTCGGGTGCTGCTGCATGTTGCTGCTCACCGTGACTACGAGCTTCACTCTCTTGACTTCAGCACAGCTTTCTTGCAGGGCAGCCTGCACGAGGAGATCTGGCTGCGCCGCCCCCCGGGCTTCACTGGGTCGTTCCCTCCTGGTACCCAGTGGAGCCTCCGGCGGCCGGTCTACGGTCTCCGCCAGGCGCCACGTGAGTGGCACGACACACTGAGGACTACGCTTGCGGCTCTTGGGTTCGCGCCTTCTACTGCTGACCCGTCGCTGTTTCTGCGCACCGACACTTCACTGCCGCCGTTCTACATCCTCGTGTACGTCGATGACTTGGTTTTTGCCACTGCTGACACTGAGGCTCTCGCCCATGTGAAGTCGGAGCTGCAGAAGAGACACACGTGCACAGACTTGGGTGAGCTGCGCAGCTACCTTGGCTTGCAGATCACCCGGGACAGAGCACGCCGCACCATCACCTTGACTCAGTCACACATGGTGCAGCAGGTCCTTCAGCGCTTCTGCTTCACCTGGTCTTCAGCACAGGCCACTCCTCTGGCTACAGGTCACACGCTCTCAGCTCCACCTTCGGACGAGTCCGTAGAGCCGAGTGGTCCTTACCCAGAGCTAGTCGGCTGCCTCATGTACCTGATGACTTGCACTCGACCTGACCTCGCGTACCCTCTTGGTCTTCTGGCTCGCTACGTGGCTCCTGGTCGGCACCGACCTGAGCACATGGCTGCTGCTAAGAGGGTACTGCGCTACTTGTGCAGCACATCAGGCATGGGGCTAGTGCTTGGAGGGACGAGCCCAGTTGTCCTCACTGGGCACTCAGACGCTTCTTGGGTTGACGACCAGGCTACTCAGCGGTCATCACAGGGTTACACCTTCAGCCTTGGCTCTGGTTCAGTTTCGTGGCGTTCTACACGCTCGTCTTCAGTTCTCAGCTCCAGTTGTGAGGCTGAGATCTACGCCACAGCCATGGCTGTACAGGAGTTACGCTGGCTCACCTACCTGCTGACTGACTTGGGAGAGCAGCCTCGTTCTCCTCCAGTGCTGTACGTCGACAACAAGGCCGCCATTGCCTTGTGTGAGGAGCACAGAACGAAGCACATTGCTCTGCGTTACTTCCTGGCTCGAGAGTTGCAGCAGCGAGGCCAGCTTCGTCTTCGCCACGTGGCCACTCGGGCCAACACTGCTGATATATTCACCAAGGCACTTCCGTCTGGTGATCATCAGCGCTTTTGTACTCTGTTGGGCCTTGTGCCTACGTTTCCACACTTGCTGTAGTCTCTGCTTGTACTGTGATCTATATATATACCTGCATGCTGGCTCTTGCTAGGTAGTCATCACTGTACTGTTATTGCTGCATGTGAACTGGCCTTGTGGCCCTTTGCTTGTGCTCGGAATGCGTGGTGACGTTGTGATCCACCCTGAGCTTGTTTTGCTTCTCTTGACTGGTCGTGTGACCCCTTGTTCTCCCCCACTTTGCCTATGGGGGTGTGTCAAACCATATGTGTTGCATATTGTCTAGGCTGTAGTGGGGTAGCCCATATGGGGTACAACCCAATTAGGGTTTACTACTTGTACTCCTGCATGCTGTTAGTTCACTCATTCCTGCTGCTAGATTCTAACAAATCCTTATATTAAAAAATGTCATATGAATAGACCCGGGCATTATGTAGGATTTTCCGTTGAGGAGACCCCCCCCCCCCCCATTTTTTCCCAGTGGTTATCATAACACCCTAGGGTGTTTTATCCGGGAGAATACGGTACACCTCTCTCTACAAACATTCATCTTGCCAGGCTTCCCTACAGCAGGTGCAACGCTTTGAAATATAGGACCCTCTACACTATGAGAGAATGTTTCTAAGGCGCCTCAAAAACAGACTCTCCACACTATGAGTGGACCCACATTGAGAGGAAGGGAAACGGCATCTCATTACATGGAAGGGAGCAACGGTGTTACTGAGAGGAGGGCAGATTACGCCTATGTTATTACCGATACGGAAGAATGCAGAAATCATCCAAGTTTGAGAATTCTCAAAAGCAGGGGTGTCACTGAGCAGAGGGCAGATTACGCCTATGGTGTTATGGATACGGTGGAATACAGAAGCCATCCAAGGTAAAAGCATGTGCAGGTGACACCGCAGCGAGTGCAGTCATCCATATCATCCTACTGAGTGCACCAAACTGAGCCGGAAATATTGACTGGAAAGCCCCTGGTTAGCAATAGCAAGGGGAGGATGGTAACAAGGGGAGGATGGTAACAAAGGGAGAGCAAAACGGATCAGATGGGTCACAAATGCTGCCTTTGATAATTGGTGCAGAAAGGGAAGTGGCAAAGCTGTGCAGGGCTGAAGGCAGGTGCGGGTGGGAAGAGAACAACGGCTCACTACTGTGCGTGTGAAACAAATCCATTACTCACATTAAATATTGTGCGTAGAAGGGTTCGGTATTCGTGATTTCAGGGGGCGGCTGGTCAACGCCCGTGCCTTGGCAGTTCTCTGCTGCGTATTGTTTACACTTGGAGCATTTTGGAGCGTCGTCTATGTTTTCAACGGTATAAACTGCCCAGACCGTGCCAACTACTGCAGGCGGGTACGAGGAGCAGGCGTAAAGGTTGGCCCGGAAGGTGTAGGGCCGAGACGTGCTGTCCTTGGCTGTTCGATTCACGATGAGTGTTGTGCTGTCGGAACAGACGGTGGGAGGTGCATCTGCGAAGGAAGGAGTGGGAGATAAAAGGAGTGGGAGAGGGAAGGAGAGCGTTCATAAGTATGTTTGTAGATTCATACACACACACAATGAGTGTTGTGCTGTCGGAACAGACGGTGGGAGGTGCATCTGCGAAGGAGTGGGAGGAGTGGGAGAGGGAATCGGGGCATTAATAGGTAAGTTCGTACATTGATAAACACACACAATGCCACATTGGGGTTTTGAGACGTATCAGAATGTTAAGGCTTCGCAACCACATTCAGACATAAGACCATGCATTCACGCACGCAATGTTAGATTCGCTATGTTGGCTCAGCCAACTTGACAGAGCGAGAAAGGTGAAGGACAGAGTGGGGTGGGTGGGGAGAGGGGGGAGTGGGGTGGGGAGAGGGGGGAGTGGGGGGGGGGAGGGAGTGGGGGGGGAGAGGGGGGAGTGGGGTGGGGAGAGGGGGGAGTGGGGTGGGGAGAGGGGGGGTGGGGTGGGGAGAGGGGGGGTGGGGTGGGGAGAGGGGGGGGGGAGTGGGGAGGGGATGCGTGGGGGGGGGGAAAGGGATGCGTGGAGGAGGGGAGCGTGGGGGGAGGGAAGAGTGGGAATGGGGAGAGTGGGAATGGGGGGGAGAGTGGGAATGGGGAGAGTGGGAATGGGGAGAGTGGGAATGGGGAGAGTGGGAATGGGGGAGGAGAGGGAATGGGGAGAGTGGGAATGGGGAGAGTGGGAATGGGGAGAGTGGGAATGGGGAGGGAGAGTGGGAATGGGGAGAGAGGGGAATGGGGAGAGTGGGAATGGGGGGGAGAGTGGGAATGGGGAGAGTGGGAATGGGGAGAGTGGGAATGGGGGAGTGGGAGAGAGTGGGAATGGGGAGGGGAATGGGGGAGGAGGGAGAGTGGGAATGGGGAGAGTGGGAATGGGGAGAGTGGGAATGGGGAGAGTGGGAATGGGAGAGTGGGAATGGGGAGAGTGGGAATGGGGAGAGTGGGAATGGGGAGAGTGGGAATGGGGAGAGTGGGAATGGGGAGAGTGGGAATGGGGAGAGTGGGAATGGGAGAGGGGGAGAGTGGGAATGGGGAGAGTGGAATGGGGAGAGTGGGAATGGGGAGAGTGGGAATGGGGAGAGTGGGAATGGGGGAGAGGGGAAGGGGAGGAGAGGGGAATGGGGGGAGAGTGGGAATGGGGAGAGTGGGAATGGGGAGAGTGGGAATGGGGAGAGTGGGAATGGGGAGAGTGGGAATGGGGAGAGTGGGAATGGGGGGAGAGTGGGAATGGGGAGAGGGGAGAGTGGGAATGGGGAGAGTGGGAATGGGGGGGAGGAGAGTGGGAATGGGAGAGTGGGAATGGGGAGAGTGGGAATGGGGAGAGTGGGAATGGGGAGAGTGGGAATGGGGAGAGTGGGGGAGAGTGGGAATGGGGAGAGTGGGAATGGGGAGAGTGGGAATGGGGAGAGTGGGGATGGGGAGAGTGGGAATGGGGAGAGTGGGAATGGGGAGAGTGGGAATGGGGAGAGTGGGAATGGGGGAGAGTGGAATGGGGAGAGTGGGAATGGGGAGAGTGGGAATGGGAGAGTGGGAATGGGGAGTGGGGGAATGGGGGAGAGTGGGAATGGGGAGAGTGGGAATGGGGAGAGTGGGAATGGGGAGAGTGGGAATGGGGAGAGTGGGGGAATGGGGAGAGTGGGATGGGGGAGAGTGGGAATGGGGAGAGTGGGAATGGGGAGAGTGGGAATGGGGAGAGTGGGAATGGGGAGAGTGGGAATGGGGGAGAGTGGGAATGGGGAGGAGAGTGGGAATGGGGAGAGTGGGAATGGGGAGAGTGGGAATGGGGAGAGTGGGAATGGGGAGAGTGGGAATGGGGAGGAGAGTGGGAATGGGGAGAGTGGGAATGGGGAGAGTGGGATGGGGAGAGTGGGAATGGGGAGGGAGAGTGGGAATGGGGAGAGAGGCGAATGGGAGAGTGGGAATGGGGAGGGGAGGGGAGAGTGGGAATGGGGAGAGTGGGAATGGGGAGAGTGGGAATGGGGAGAGGGGAATGGGGAGAGTGGGAATGGGGAGAGTGGGAATGGGGAGAGTGGGAATGGGGAGAGTGGGAATGGGGAGAGTGGGAATGGGGAGAGAGTGGGGAGAGAGGAGATGGTGGGGAGAGGGGATAGTGGGTAGTGGGGCAATACATGAATGGGAGTGTGGAGAGGAGACAGCAGGGCGAGTGAGAAGAGAGTGGGGCGAGTGAGGAGAGAGAGAGAGTGGAGACTCACCCTTGACACAGCCGGTGGCCGTCATGCCACATTGGGGAGAGTGGGGAGAGTGGGGGAGTGGGGGGAGTGGGGTGGGGGGAGTGGGGGGAGTGGGGGGAGCATGCACCAACGAGACTCACCCTTGACACAGCCGGTGGCCGTCATGCCATAGCCCTTAGGGCACGCACAGTAAGGCCCGGGCAATATATCAGACATGCCACACAGAACTGCATCAGCGAGACTTACCCTTGACACAGCCGGTGGCCGTCATGCCATAGCCCTTAGGGCACGCGCAGTAAGGCACGGGCAACACGCCTGGTCCAGGGATCAGCACCGTCTTGCAGGTAGCTCCAGGGGGGCAGGCGCCAGAGTGAGTCTGTGGGGTGGGGGGGGATGGGTGCAGTGCGGTATGACTTCTGAGGCGCCTCAAACAGCAGTAAGGAACCTGCACCGCACTGTTGTTAGTTGTAGGCACGTTCTTGCAGGTGGCTCCAGAGGGACAGGCGCCACAGAGTGAGTCTGAGGGTGGGGATGGGTGCAGTGGGATGGGTGCAGTGCAGTGCGGCATGTGAGTGCAATTGCTGGTGGGGGTAGGATATACCATGTACGAGTGAATGGCTTTGAGTTAGGAGTGGGAAAGCGGGGAATTCATACTCACCCCACTGACAGGTACACCACTCGTTAATCTCATTACAGAGCAGGAAAGAGCTCACCTCAGATGCAGGCAGAGCAGGAAAGACGTTACCTCACTTGCAGAACAGGAAAGAAATCACGTCACTGGCAGAAAAACGTTCCATTCGTATCCACCACACATTTGCCACCAGGCTCACAGCACTGATAGGAACCCCATGCTCACCTCACTGGCAGACCAGCCATGCTCACTCACTCACCCCACTTGCAATAGCGCGTTCCGTTCGTATCCACCTCGCATTTGCCACCCGGCTCACATCCCAAAGCAGCACAGGCGGGATCTGCAGCAGCAGAGGCGAAGCAAAAGGGGCGGCAAACAAAGGTATGAATGCTTATGGACGTCATAAGGGCATAGGGCTCATAAGGGCATAGGGCTCATAAGGGCATAGGGCTCATAAGGGCATAGGGCTCAAAAGGTCATAGGGCTCATAAGGGCATAGGGCTCATAAGGTCATAGGGCTCATAAGGTCATAGGGCTCATAAGGTCATAGGGCTCATAAGGTCATAGGGCTCATAAGGTCATAGGGCTCATAAGGTCATAGGGCTCATAAGGTCATAGGGCTCATAAGGTCATAGGGCTCATAAGGTCATAGGGCTCATAAGGTCATAGGGCTCATAAGGTCATAGGGCTCATAAGGTCATAGGGCTCATAAGGTCATAGGGCTCATAAGGTCATAGGGCTCATAAGGTCATAGGGCTCATAAGGTCATAGGGCTCATAAGGTCATAGGGCTCATAAGGTCATAGGGCTCATAAGGTCATAGGGCTCATAAGGTCATAGGGCTCATAAGGTCATAGGGCTCATAAGGTCATAGGGCTCATAAGGTCATAGGGCTCATAAGGTCATAGGGCTCATAAGGTCATAGGGCTCATAAGGTCATAGGGCTCATAAGGTCATAGGGCTCATAAGGTCATAGGGCTCATAAGGTCATAGGGCTCATAAGGTCATAGGGCTCATAAGGTCATAGGGCTCATAAGGTCATAGGGCTCATAAGGTCATAGGGCTCATAAGGTCATAGGGCTCATAAGGTCATAGGGCTCATAAGGTCATAGGGCTCATAAGGTCATAGGGCTCATAAGGTCATAGGGCTCATAAGGTCATAGGGCTCATAAGGTCATAGGGCTCATAAGGTCATAGGGCTCATAAGGTCATAGGGCTCATAAGGTCATAGGGCTCATAAGGTCATAGGGCTCATAAGGTCATAGGGCTCATAAGGTCATAGGGCTCATAAGGTCATAGGGCTCATAAGGTCATAGGGCTCATAAGGTCATAGGGCTCATAAGGTCATAGGGCTCATAAGGTCATAGGGCTCATAAGGTCATAGGGCTCATAAGGTCATAGGGCTCATAAGGTCATAGGGCTCATAAGGTCATAGGGCTCATAAGGTCATAGGGCTCATAAGGTCATAGGGCTCATAAGGTCATAGGGCTCATAAGGTCATAGGGCTCATAAGGTCATAGGGCTCATAAGGTCATAGGGCTCATAAGGTCATAGGGCTCATAAGGTCATAGGGCTCATAAGGTCATAGGGCTCATAAGGTCATAGGGCTCATAAGGTCATAGGGCTCATAAGGTCATAGGGCTCATAAGGTCATAGGGCTCATAAGGTCATAGGGCTCATAAGGTCATAGGGCTCATAAGGTCATAGGGCTCATAAGGTCATAGGGCTCATAAGGTCATAGGGCTCATAAGGTCATAGGGCTCATAAGGTCATAGGGCTCATAAGGTCATAGGGCTCATAAGGTCATAGGGCTCATAAGGTCATAGGGCTCATAAGGTCATAGGGCTCATAAGGTCATAGGGCTCATAAGGTCATAGGGCTCATAAGGTCATAGGGCTCATAAGGTCATAGGGCTTAGAAGGTCATAGGGCTCATAAGGGCATAGGGCTCATAAGGTCATAGGGCTCATAAGGTCATAGGGCTCATAAGGTCATAGGGCTCATAAGGTCATAGGGCTCATAAGGTCATAGGGCTCATAAGGTCATAGGGCTCATAAGGTCATAGGGCTCATAAGGTCATAGGGCTCATAAGGTCATAGGGCTCATAAGGTCATAGGGCTCATAAGGTCATAGGGCTCATAAGGTCATAGGGCTCATAAGGTCATAGGGCTCATAAGGTCATAGGGCTCATAAGGTCATAGGGCTCATAAGGTCATAGGGCTCATAAGGTCATAGGGCTCATAAGGTCATAGGGCTCATAAGGTCATAGGGCTCATAAGGTCATAGGGCTCATAAGGTCATAGGGCTCATAAGGTCATAGGGCTCATAAGGTCATAGGGCTCATAAGGGCATAGGCTCATAAGGTCATAGGGCTCATAAGGTCATAGGGCTCATAAGGTCATAGGGCTCATAAGGTCATAGGGCTCATAAGGTCATAGGGCTCATAAGGTCATAGGGCTCATAAGGTCATAGGGCTCATAAGGTCATAGGGCTCATAAGGTCATAGGGCTCATAAGGTCATAGGGCTCATAAGGTCATAGGGCTCATAAGGTCATAGGGCTCATAAGGTCATAGGGCTCATAAGGTCATAGGGCTCATAAGGTCATAGGGCTCATAAGGTCATAGGGCTCATAAGGTCATAGGGCTCATAAGGTCATAGGGCTCATAAGGTCATAGGGCTCATAAGGTCATAGGGCTCATAAGGTCATAGGGCTCATAAGGTCATAGGGCTCATAAGGTCATAGGGCTCATAAGGTCATAGGGCTCATAAGGTCATAGGGCTCATAAGGTCATAGGGCTCATAAGGTCATAGGGCTCATAAGGTCATAGGGCTCATAAGGTCATAGGGCTCATAAGGTCATAGGGCTCATAAGGTCATAGGGCTCATAAGGTCATAGGGCTCATAAGGTCATAGGGCTCATAAGGTCATAGGGCTCATAAGGTCATAGGGCTCATAAGGTCATAGGGCTCATAAGGTCATAGGGCTCATAAGGTCATAGGGCTCATAAGGTCATAGGGCTCATAAGGTCATAGGGCTCATAAGGTCATAGGGCTCATAAGGTCATAGGGCTCATAAGGTCATAGGGCTCATAAGGTCATAGGGCTCATAAGGTCATAGGGCTCATAAGGTCATAGGGCTCATAAGGTCATAGGGCTCATAAGGTCATAGGGCTCATAAGGTCATAGGGCTCATAAGGTCATAGGGCTCATAAGGTCATAGGGCTCATAAGGTCATAGGGCTCATAAGGTCATAGGGCTCATAAGGTCATAGGGCTCATAAGGTCATAGGGCTCATAAGGTCATAGGGCTCATAAGGTCATAGGGCTCATAAGGTCATAGGGCTCATAAGGTCATAGGGCTCATAAGGTCATAGGGCTCATAAGGTCATAGGGCTCATAAGGTCAAAGGCTCATAAGGTCATAGGGCTTATAAGGTCATAGGGCTCATAAGGTCATAGGGCTCATAAGGTCATAGGGCTCATAAGGTCATAGGGCTCATAAGGTCATAGGGCTCATAAGGTCATAGGGCTCATAAGGTCATAGGGCTCATAAGGTCATAGGGCTCATAAGGTCATAGGGCTCATAAGGTCATAGGGCTCATAAGGTCATAGGGCTCATAAGGTCATAGGGCTCATAAGGTCATAGGGCTCATAAGGTCATAGGGCTCATAAGGTCATAGGGCTCATAAGGTCATAGGGCTCATAAGGTCATAGGGCTCATAAGGTCATAGGGCTCATAAGGTCATAGGGCTCATAAGGTCATAGGGCTCATAAGGTCATAGGGCTCATAAGGTCATAGGGCTCATAAGGTCATAGGGCTCATAAGGTCATAGGGCTCATAAGGTCATAGGGCTCATAAGGTCATAGGGCTCATAAGGTCATAGGGCTCATAAGGTCATAGGGCTCATAAGGTCATAGGGCTCATAAGGTCATAGGGCTCATAAGGTCATAGGGCTCATAAGGTCATAGGGCTCATAAGGTCATAGGGCTCATAAGGTCATAGGGCTCATAAGGTCATAGGGCTCATAAGGTCATAGGGCTCATAAGGTCATAGGGCTCATAAGGTCATAGGGCTCATAAGGTCATAGGGCTCATAAGGTCATAGGGCTTAGAAGGTCATAGGGCTCATAAGGGCATAGGGCTCATAAGGTCATAGGGCTCATAAGGTCATAGGGCTCATAAGGTCATAGGGCTCATAAGGTCATAGGGCTCATAAGGTCATAGGGCTCATAAGGTCATAGGGCTCATAAGGTCATAGGGCTCATAAGGTCATAGGGCTCATAAGGTCATAGGGCTCATAAGGTCATAGGGC